GGTGGCGGTGGTGGTGGCGGCGGCGGGGGTGGTGGTGAGGGTGGTGATGGTGGTGCTGCTACTGCAAGGCAGAGATGGGTACTCTCTGAGCGCATGGCAGCTTTGAAGGTGATGCAATACGGGCACATGCACTGTACGGCTTCCCGCCTACACTTTCATACCTGAACACCTTCATTCCCTGACAGCAGCTTTAGGATGTTTAGCGCTTCCGGTTTGGGGTTGGTGGGGCTTCGGGATTGTAGGGCTTGACAGAGCTATCCTCACGCTGATGCAACCGCCAAAGTGCGGTGTATGCTTATCGTTCATCTCTCTGCGATCCGAAGCAAACCATGTCACCATGCGTTCGAACTCTGAGCCGCTTTCGACCGTCTACCCAATGCACCGAAACGATTCGGGTTGTACTATAAGGACACCCAGCCGACATCGAACGCCCCAGACCCCAAGGCCGTAAAGCAGGGGCCCACACCTCTAGGTTCGGCGCAATCACTCGCTGCGACCTCGGGCGCAAAGGCGTCATTTTGGACTTTAGGGTTTAGGGTCTTGTTCTGAGGGCTTCGAGGGTGAGTGTTGGCACTTTTTGACTCTGGATTGCATCCGATTGCGCACGAGCATGCTCGTTATGACACTGACGGTTATCTTTCGTGTTGGTATGGGTTGCAGCAGTCTTTGCATTGCTGCAGCATTAAAGCAGTAGGTGCAGCAGCAGCTGCTGAAGAGCAGTGGCAGCAGCGGTAGCAGTACAAAAGGATGTACCGGCAGCGGTGCAGGCGGAGTCGTCGCATTCATTACGAGCAGGGGCAGCAGCCTGTAGCAGAGGCAGTGACAGTGGTAGTCGTCGTAGTCGCCGTGGTGTCAGCAGTAGCTGTTGCTCTTCTTGTTCTGGTTGTTGTTGCTGTTTATGCTTCTGTTTCAATCTGTTTCTGTTTCTGTTGTAAACCCCAGACCCTAACCCCCCAACCCTAGATCCTAAACCCTAGACCCTAAACCCTAGACCCTAAACCCTAAACCCTAAACCCTAGACCCTAAACCCTAAACCCTAAACCCTAAACCCTAAACCCCTAAACCCAAACTGGAGCCAAACTGAGGCTGCACAACCGAAGCCTGCAGTCTCTCCAGGGGGAAGGCAAAACAGAACAGCCCCTAAGTAGAAGACATTCAGAGTTTTTAGTGTTTGGGGGTGTAGGGGTTTAGGGTTTAGGGTTTAGGGTTTAGGGTTGTAGGGGTTTAGGGTTTAGGGTTTAGGGTTTAGGGTTGTAGGGGTTTAGGGTTTCGTGAAACAGGGACTTCAGATACATTCCTTAGTTGATTGCTGGCCTTTCAGCTCTGTGGCTTCCCAATGCGACAGGGCGCTGAAAGTGTCTGCTGACGTTCGTCGAGACGGGACGGTGCCTCACGCGGGAACTATGCAGGCGGAACCCTGCATGCGAAATTGGTGGAGTTGAGGCTCAATTTGTTTGCTGGTTTCCAACATGAAGCGCTTTAACGCGCGGCAGCTCCTCCAACATACTCCCGCAGAAGGCCTAAGCCAGAACGCCCCCCGGTGACCCCGAAACTGCCGTAGAGCCGAATCCAGAAACAGGCCTCCGAACTTTAAAGCAAGCTAGAAACCCCACGCAAAGGCATCCAAAACCCAAGTAAACCCTTAACCCCGAGTCTTCGACCGTCTTTGGAGACTCTAAGTCTCGCGGGTTTGGGGAGCTAGCCCAGCTCTACGAAACCTCCTCGGCCTCAGGAACAGAGTCGGGTTGAATCGTTTCGGCTTGGGAGCTTCATGTCCAGCTATATAGCACTATAAACCTGAATGTCCATCTATAGATACTTATATAATACTGGGTTTAGGGTTGAGGGTTCAGGACTATATATATATATATATACATATAGACACCGTCCAGAGCATGAGAAAAGAACATAAGTTGTGTGCTGAAGGCTTGGGGATACCTGCAGATTGTACACAAGTCTGACATATCCTTCTTTGGCTCTTCCTGTCTCTATGCACTACACCCATCCACGATAAAGCAGGGAAGCTTACGGTTATGGGTTGAGGTTCGAAGAATTCAGTCAATCATCCGTAAAGAGTTTTTGGCCCCTGAACCCTGAACCCTGAACCCTGAACCCGCAACCCTAAATCCTAAACCCTAAATTCTAAACCCTACTGCCTGAAAACCCAGAATGCAAACGCCTGGCGTCGAAGGTCACTTCGCTGATCAGCGGGCTCCCCTTCTCCAGGTGCTGGCCCAAACACGCGCTGCTTGCAGAGTGGCTTTGGCTTTGGGTTTAGGGCTTATGGTTTAGGGTTTAGGCTTTAAGGTTTAGAGGGTTTCAGGTTTAGGGGTTGCCGGCTTTAGTTAGCACAAGGACGGCTCCCTTGTTTCGACTGCGCTTTGGGTGCGGCGCTGGTCTTACCAAGAGCCGGGCGCAAAAATCGGCCAAGGGTCTGCTAGCTGGCTTTGGGTGTAGGGTCGACTTCTTAGGGTTTAGGACTCAAAGATCTTATAGAAAGGGTTTGAACAGGGAGTTGCGGTCGCCCCACAAAGATCTCCGACAAAAGAGTGGCTTCTTCAACCCTAAACCCTAACACCCCTAAACCCCTAAACCCCAAAACCCCTAAAACCCCTAAACCCTAAAACCCCTAACCCCTAAAACCCCTAAAACCCCAAACCCCTAAACCCCTAAAACCCCTAAAACCCCTAAAACCCCTAAAACCCTTAAACCCCATCTAAGGTTCACGAGGCGAAAGGCGAACCGCCTCGGCTTTGAGGTCCATGGAGGGGGCAAGGAGCCCTGAAAGACCAGACTGCCAGGGTTGAGGGTTTAGGGTTTAGGGTTTAGGGTTTAGGAGCCCTGAAAGACCAGACTGCCAGGGTTTCGAGTTTAGGTTTAGGGGATTTCTGGGGTTTAGGGGTTAAGGGTTTCGGGTCTAGGGGTTTTAAGGGTTAGGGGGATAGGGCTTAGGGTTTAGTGTTTAGGCTTTGTGGCTTAGACCACCTAGGGTTTAGAGTTTAGGGTTTTGGGGGACCCAAACCCATCAACCCGAAACCCCAGACCATGCTTCCCGCAACAAACCCTCCAGACCAAGCCCTAAACCTACAAACCGAAGCTTAGACTGGCCTTAGACCCCAAATCCTTAACCTTTGGTAAGCCAGAAGTGGGCCTTGCAAAGGGGTCTGAATCAGAAGACATCTTACTCCGCTGCAGACTCTACAGAATTCTAGCCCACAATACACCCCAAAGCCCTCCTTCTTAATTATCACTGTTAAAGTCTGTTAAAGGAAACTACAGGTGGGAGTTTGGTATATAGGCCTTCTATAAGGCTTCTATAAGGTATATAGACCTTCTTTCAGGCTCCTATAACGGTAACTACCCACCTGAAAATGTCCTAGACACTGGTCACAGCCCTAGAGAAGACGCTAAATCCAGAGGTTTCCCACCTGTCGCTGTGCTGACGGAAGCTCCACACGTCTCCCTGAAAGGATCCCACCACGGATCTCCTTGTCAAAGGCTCTACAAGGGTTCAGGGTTTAGGGTTTAGGGTTCAGGGTTCAGGGTTTAGGGTTTAGGGTTTAGGGTTTAGGGTTTAGGGTTTAGGGTTTGCGTGCTGGGTTCAGCATTGTTGCTTCGTGGGATGGATGTAATGGGCTCATAGGGTTCCGAATCTGCTGGGGATGTGGGGTCGCAGGGTCCACAGGGTTCTGAGGATCTGTTGTTCTTAGGTTGCTGTTCAAAGGGCGACTTTAAACTCAGGATCTAGGGTATGGGGCACTATGCTCTGCAGATGAGTCCAGGGCTGGGATTCGACGGGTTCCAAGCATTCCACCAAACCCTGCTCCTTAGGGCTTAACATCACCATCTCTTTAGGTTGTGCCCTTGGATGTAAGCTGTGATGCCCTAAACCCTAAACCCTAAACCCTAAACCCTGAGAATTTAATACACTTGCAGAAGTCGTAGAGCTTCTGGCAGCTTTCGGAGTCTACTTGTCGTTGCCTTTTTCTGGTCGCTTGGCTCCCTAAATACTAAAGGTCGTTTGTAGAACAGGTTTTGGTTGGGGGTATGGGACTTTCGATCTAGTATCGGGGTTTCGGGCTCTTGGGTGTTGGGTGTTGGGAGTTTGCGCGTTTAGGGGTTCAGGGGTTTAAAGCTCAGGGGTTAAGAGGCTTTGGGGCTTAGGGTTAGGGGTGTAAGGCTGAGACCCTGGAATGATTTTAATCCCCGAACCAAAGGATTCGCATCCAAAATCCCAAAACCTCAAACTCAAAAGTCCAGTGCAGTTTCGCCGCGGTTCAGTGTCCCCAGCAGCTTTAAAGATCTCTAATCCTAGTCGCTTAAAAAAGCGGCAGGACCTGCAATTGTGATCATAATAATATTCAAGCAATAACAAAAGTAACAATTACAATAGTAGTAGTAGTAGTAGTAGTAGTAGTAGTAGTAGTACTAGTAGTAGTAGTAGTAGTAGTAGTAGTAGTAGTAGTAGTACCATTATTATTGTTATTGTTATTAGTAGTCGAAATAATAAAAGTAGGAGTAGTAATAATTATGGGTAAAATACTACCTTCGAACAAAACACAATAGATACTGTGGTCAATAGTCATAGTTATAGCAAAAGTGTTCATAGTAGTCATGGTCACATTCACAGCCATAGCCATAGTCATAGTAACAGTACTAGTAGTCGTGACAATGATTTGTATATATATATATACACATATCTGTATGCATCTATTTGTATGCATATATATATATATCTACATACATACACGGTCAGACTCAAACTTATATAGGCCCAAGCACACTACTGTCAAATCTGCAACAAAGGCTCTTCCAAAGCTTGCAGAGTGAGGTGCTTGCCTGGCACACAACGTGTTGAATAGTATGGTTGGTCGGAATCATGACAAGGTTCAAACAGAAGTGGACATGAAGCAGCCATGCAGGAGTGATTATGACATGGTTAACCCCCAACTCCTAACCACTAAACCCGACAAACCACACACCAATCTGCCGCCCTGGCATGTACTGGCAGCAGCCGTGTTGGCACTGCTGGCTATCTTGAGTCTTCGCCATTCCAGGCTTTCTGCTGATTATTCTCTTTCTACTGCTGCTCGTACGATGAACTGCTCAGTTTTTGCAATATCCACGCTTGAATATCGAACAGCCCTTAGCCTTAAAATGGCAACCGATCCGTCGTGGGGTGCAATGGATGCCTCTCATTTCGTCTCTGAGCTCATCCAGCTTGGAGGTGATGGTGTCCAAGCGTGCCTTCGAGGGGGGCAAGGTTTAGGGCTTGCTGAACTGATAGCATTTCGGATTTAATGGTTCGTGTAATGTTGAGTGGCTTACGAGCCAAGTGTCGTTCTACTCCCTGCGCCAACTCAGATTCATGCACGATCCGAAGAGCCATAGACAGGGGATTACCACTCACCAGCCCTAGTGGAAGACAAGGAGTTAGTGCTAGTATTGAATGTTCAAACTTGATGCTAATATAGGAGCCTAAATAATTACAAATGGCCTTTTGGCATTTGGGAGGGGATTCCTCATCATATTTACAGTATAAAAAATCCCAAAGCTCTGTTCCAATTATTAAGTCCCCTATATTACCCCAGGTCGTGCTTCGATCCACGCCCAATGCACCTTGCAGGACTCGTCGTCATGGCACGGCGCTGGCGACGAACTCCACACCTCCATTCAACTTCGCTGCTAGTGTCCCGTCAATCCAAGGTACGCCAGGGTTCAGGTCTAGGGTTCAGGGTTTAGAGTTTAGGATTAGCGAGAATCCTAGTCCTGGACCCGAAACTCTCAGCCAAACCCCATAAGGGTCCGGATTAGAATGGGTTCGGACCTCGCTAAGAAGCCTTGCCAAGCTCGTGCCCCTCCGACGACTCTCCATGCCTGCTATGGGTTCGCAGGTTTGGTGTTTCAAACCTTCACAACATCAGAGTTTCACACGCTCACTTATCCGGTGCGAGGAAAACGAGTTTCGGCTGCTCCATCTGGACCTCTACACCTTAAACCTCTAACCCCACACTCTAAACCCTTCCTGCGGTCCGAGACGATGGAGTATCTGGAGAGTTTTGTGCCAGCTTTCGGCAAGGCAGTGTATTGTGAAACTGTGTGAAGACATGCGATGCAGGTTGAACCGAAAGCAGTTCAATCGTGTCATGGGGTCAGAAATAATATCGAGCAAGAGCAAAGCAATCAAACGAGCAGGTAGGTTAGTGATGGCACATGCAGGCTGCCTTTCCGCGTGTGCCCGCTATCGCACTCTAAAGCCCACTCCTTGAATCGGGAGCCGATTCTGTAAACCTTAAATCCTCAACAAGAGCTGCAGAACCCTGAACCCAAAATGAACTGCCCCTGGCCCTAAATCCTAAACCCTGCGCCCGACCAAAACTGCTAAACCCAAACGGTCCCCATCTCCTGTCAGGATGCTATTCTAGCACTTAAACAATAAGAATTATGGTGAATAAATCAATAAGTTAAGTATTACGGTGACTAAAAAGTAGTTATGATGGTCGTTCTTATTATTGAACAATCATAAGAATACTCATAATACTTCCAATAATAATACTAGCAATAATACTAATAATAATACCTAAACCCTACACCCTAAGTAAAACTAGAATCCTGAGCATCCCGGCGCCAGCCCAAACCTGTCGAGTCAAGGCGATGAGGAGCCTCGGAGAGAGGGAGAGGCCCAACCCTACAGTAGTTTAGGGTTTAAGGGTTTAGG